GTTTTTAATAAACCAAAATACAGTTTCAAAGTAAATTAATTCAGATACAAAACTTTAAATTCAGTTTCATTTTATGCACATTCAGATTCAATTCCTGCTGGAACAAGATTTATCCCACAGAACCACCTGTTCAGATTACAGGTTCTGGAAAACTCCAGAGACGTTTTAGAGCATCCAGCTCCACAGAAACCAGCTCCTGCTGCAGGATCCTGATCCCTCCTGGGGTTCCAGGTCTGCCCCAGGACAAAGATCCTGCTTCGGTTCTACAGATCCACTGGAGAGACCGAAGACCAGGAAAGTTCAGCAGACCAGGAGTCTCCACTCCAAGGTCTGAATCCAGACGAGGGYGGAGCTCTGGGTGCGACAAGTCCTGGCCTCATAAAAACCACGTCAGGTATGTGAAACATTTAGATCCTGAATCCGCCTCCATAAGAACCGAACCGTCAGACCTTGTGGACCTGGTTTTTACACAAACTGGATGCAGGTTAGTGTGAGCCACTCTCTGTGGGGTCTGCAGCTGAATATTTACAGAAACACAGACGTTCTACAGCTCAGGTCCAGAAAAGGGACCAGGCTGACCGAGCCAGGACCGGCAGGTCCATGTGACCCAGCAGGAACCAGTCCGCAGCCCATCAACTGCAGGTCCAGGTGGGACACACAGAAAAACTTTTTAAAAACAATCTTTTAAACACGAAAAACACATGATTGAGTTACAGCTGCTGAGAGAATTAACCAATGAAAACACTTTGACAAAAAGTGTGTAAAGAAAACAACAACAACAACAACAACAACAACAACAACAACAACAACAACACAAACATGTAAATATTCCCTCTCAGGGATAAATTTAATTTTTATTAATTTATTCTTTCATCTCACAGGATTAATCTGGGCTCATATTTCTGGTCTGAACGTCTAAATAATGTTTATTTTTTAAAATAAAAGCTCATTTAAGTGTTTCACCAAGGATCCAGACCGGACCGGACCGGACCGGGTCGTAAATCTGAAGTTAAAGTGACCAAATAATGTGGACACACATGTCCACAGGTGTCCCTGCGTGGGCGGAGCCTGGAGACCAGGTGTGACTGAAGCAGCTCCTGACAGGTGAGGTTTCATCAGGTGAATGACTATTTATTTAACAAATAAACGATCATTTACATCACAAACATAAATTTTATTATTTCTTATTATTCAGGCCAATATCAGCAGATCAATCTGTCTGGTTTTTAATTTTGCTAAATTAAATTTTAGGTTTTTAGACTTCCTGTTCATCTTAAGGGTTTGTTTACTTCTTTCAAAGTTTTTTTTTTAATAAATTTAAACCACCAAACTACAACACTGTGGTTTATTTTAAAGCCAGGGGACTTAATATTCTGATTAATTTGATATAATCTGATAAGAGTTGAGTAAAATCCTAAATATTCCTGTCTCTGACAGGAAGATTTAGGATCCCAGCTGTGCCAGTCCCACAGAGGTCCACTGTCTGTCCCCAGCCTGCTGGGAATCTCAATGAGAGGACACAATAAGGACAAGACAAACCCTGTGAGTCCGCAGGGACTTCAGGGCTCAGGCCCGGCCCGGTGAACGGTGCTCCTCACGGTGGATTAACCAGAAGAACCGGCTAACGTTTCCCTTCCTGTCAAACCTGCGGCTAACTCAGCTAGCCCTCAGRGGCGGCGTCTAATTCCTGGCACCAGGCAACACGGAAAACACAAACATCTGATTGTCTGATTCAGAAGGTGTCTGATTTATTAGACTTTAAACATTATTTAATAACTAAATCAATTAACATCTAGTTTAATAACACCGGCTAAGGATAATGTGAGCGCAGACCAGGAAATACACGGAGCCATTCTTACCGTTCCCTCGGACATTCGTTGCCAGTTTAACCGGACTGTGACGCTTCCTCTTCGGTGTTTACAAGATGGAAATCCTGGTTCCTTCTAACTGAAAGTGGACCTCTGGTTCCTGCTGCCGGACCGGTACCAGAACTGTAGGGGGGGTTTCAAAGATGACGGTTCCCACCGGGCTGCTGCAGGTTTCAGTGACTAACGCAGGAATAATGTGGTTTCAATGATCATCCAGGATTTAGTCGGAGCCGTTCAGGTGCCGCCTGCCCCCCGCTGCCTCCATGGTGAAACCAGCCGAACAGCGGCGACGAAAGGCCGGGTCAGAAACACACAACTGCAGCCTCTCTGCCCGCTGCTCGGTCCTGGAAGTGACAGCTCCGTGCCCCCCGTGTCCCCCCGGCGACTGAGCCTGAAAATGGAGTCACTCCTCCCGGACAGACAGGACTGATGTCACCCCTCCCGGGTTAAAGGGGAAGCTGCGGTTTGGAGTCACAATTCTGATTTATTTATTTATTTATTTATTTATTTAATAAAAATAAATACAATACAATTTTTAAAATATGCAGAAAAACAGTAAAAAGGAGCAAAATTAAACCTGAATTAGCATAAAAAGCTAAAATAGCTGAACATAGCAGAAACCAACTGTAAGAAACATGAATAACTCAAAATAGCAGAAAGAAGCACAAAAAAAATTAAAATTAGCAGAAGAAAAAAAAAGGGCAGACATACAGCTAAAATACTAGAAAAAGGCTAAATTTAGCAAAAAAGCTAAAATTGTTGAAGGAATTTAATATGATCAAAACCAGAAGATTTTGTGTAAGTTTCTGTAAAGAAACATGAAAAAATTTAAGAATTTTTAAWAAAGCTCCATTCATTTCCAATGGGAATAAAGTAGCCGAAATAGCTTTGGCTACAATTGTAGATATATTTTTAGGCTTCAACATGTGACAGAGCTTTCAGCTACAGTTCATCAGTTTTCATGTCAACGTCTCAAATATTGACTTGGTAAAAGGCCTTTAAAACTAGCTTTCACGGCCATCTTGGATTTTTTCAGCTGCTATTTATGAAATAGCTAAGTCTCAGCTATTAATTTTTAGCTCATTATATCAAAAATTGGCCAAATTCAAGTATTTTTTTCTAACTTTAGCTAATAACAGCTGAACATTAGCTAAAATTGCTGCAAATAGCTGAATAGTGCAGAAAGCATCTATAGGAAGCATAAATAACTCAAATTAGCAGAAAGAATTACAAAAAATAGTAATTGGCAGAGAAAAAAGCAGAAAGTACAATTTAGCTAATATAGCAGCAAAACAGCTAAAATTAGCATAAAAATAAGCTAAAGGTAGCAGCCTCAAATTGAAAGTAGCACCCAGATGGTGAAATCGTAGTAAAAATTTCAAAATTTGCAGAAAAAAAACCATAATATTAAAAAAAGTGATCATTTATAGTAAAATAGCTAAAACAGCCGAAGTTTACAGGAAAATAGCTAAAAGGTAGCTGGGGGTTCTTTAATTAGCATAGAGAAGCATAAGAAACACAACTTAGCTGAATTTAGCAGAAATAAGTTTTAATAGCTACAAAAAATGTGCATTTAGCTTAAAAAGCTAACTTCAGCTAATAACAGCTAAAATTTAGCTAAATTTGTATCAAATAGCTGAATATAGCAGAAAGCAACTGTAAGAAGCATAAGTAGTATAAATTAGTAGAAAAAAGCACAAATAAAACAGAAAAAGCAGAAGAATAGCAAAAAGGAGCAGAACTATAGCTGTAATAGCAGAAAACAGCTAAAGTTAGCATAAAAATAAACTAAAGTTAGCAGCCTTATGTTGAAAGTAGCACACAGATGGTGAAATGTTTGTAAAAATTTCAAAATTATCAGAAAAAACCCCCCATAAAATTACTAAAAAGTGAACATTTGTAGTAAAATAGCTAAAACAGCCGAAGTTTTCAGTTAAACAGCTAAAAAGTAGCTGGAAACACTTTAATTAGTATAAGGAAGCATAAGAAGCACAACTTAGCTGAATTTAGCAGAAATAAGTTTTAATAGCTACAAAAAATGTGCATTTAACTTAAAAAACTAACTTTAGCTAATAACAGCTAAAATTTAGCTAAATTTGTATCAAATAGCTGAATATAGCAGAAAACAACTGTAAAAAGCATAAATAGTACAAATTAGCAGAAAAAAGCACAAATAAATCGGAAAAAGCAGAATAGCAAAAAGGAGCAGAACTATAGCTGTAATAGMAGAAAACAGCTAAAGTTAGCAAAAAAGTAGCTAAAATTAGCACAAAGAATTTAAAAGCATAACCAAAGCAAAAGATATGAAGAGCAGTGAAAATTTATAAAAAAAATTGAAGGGTTTTATAAAGTTGAAACATAGCTTCATGTATTTTCAATGACAAAAAAAAAAACAGCTAAAAAAGTGAAATAGCTGAAAAAGTATAAATAGCTGAAAAAGTATAAATAGCTGAAATACCAAAAGTCACAGCAGGCATGGCATGAAAAAGCTGAATGTTTTGATGTATGAATTACTGAAGTGGCACAAAAACTGTGGAAGGAGAAAGATGCTGAAAAACGTACGAAGAAAAACTGATCTGAATGCTGTGGTCATTAAGTCATCGCACACCTTCGTCCCTCACTGGCAGAGAGGCAGACTGAAAAGTAAGTCTCACACAAACTGTCGCTGTGCAAAAACTGTAACTCGGATTTTAAAAATTCTTGATCCGTGAGTGAATTTAGACCCTGTTGGTCTTTTTTATAAYCCTGCAGTGTTTTATGTTGGTGACACCGCAGGTTAAGATGAGCGCACTTCCTGTTTGGAGCTCAGGAGGGGTGGAGTTAATGAAACCAGGTGATATGAGAGAAAACTGATTTAAAGCTGCTGTATGTAGTTTCTTGGGTACCCAAAAACAGAAAATTTTGAACAGAAACAACCTTGTAGTCCCTCCCCCTGCTCTCAGCTCCCCTTCCTAGGCTCCTCCCCCACAGCAGGGCCCAGAGCCGTGAACGCACGGTTGTAAACAAGAGGTGATCTCACCGTAACACACAGAGCTCAGAGCTAAGCTGCCGTCACGGGTAAGAACAAAACAACTATATATTTT